AAATATCTTCATGGAACATGATCTTTACTTAATATCCTAATGATTTTTGGCATAAAAGAGAAATGTATAATTGTGACCCATACAATGTATTGTTGGCTATTGCTACAAATATCCCCCAGCGACTTAACACTGCTTTTGTGCTGCAGGCTCACATATAATATAATATTATATGATGCATTTGATCATATTTCTGTTGCAGGTGATACTCTGATTTGACCAACATCACAGCTGTATTGTCCTTGAATGACTGATGGATGTGCTCACCCTGGTTGTCGAGTTTGTGCAGGCCGGGCAGGTTTCTGATGACGGTCATGCGGTATCTGTGCGGCTCAGCATCACAGCAGGGGTTCTCGGCGAGCCACAGCACCTTCAGACGGCTCAGCTGCTGCAGATGCTTCAGCTCCGACAGACTCGCGATGCTGTTGCGTCTCAGATAGAGCTCGCTGAGGTGCCGACACGACGAGATGTGCTCCAGAGACGAGATCTGATTAGCACTGAGAACACACACACAGAGTTATTACAGTCATATGATGAGATTTATTATTATTCTGGATTACAAACCTCAGTGTGAGAACCTCGATGTTAGGAATCTCCACAAATATAGAGATCTGTGGATAAAATCAACACATAGTCCGATATCATTTGGTAATACCACGGTACTTTGATGCATACTATGGTACTGAATAAATTATAGAATATTTTAATAATATTTTGAAATAATAACTATATAGTAGTGCTGTCAAACGATTAATCGCATCCAAAATGTTTTTGTTTACATAATGTGTGTACTGTGTATATTTATTATGCATATATAAATACACACATGCATGTATATATATATTTTAAATATTTACATGCATATATGTATATTCATATAATTCAAATATTTATAAATATATTTAATATATAAACATAACATATTTTTCTTAAATGTATACAGTACATGCATGTGTATTTATATATATATATATATATATATATATACACAGTACACACATATATATAAACAAAACTTATTTTGAATGTGACTAATCAATTGACAGCACTAATATATATATATATATATAAATTAGAATATCATGGAAAAGTTCAAAAAAGCAAACTTTCTTATATTCTAGATTCATTGCCCACAAACTGAAATATTTCAAGAGTTTTTTTTATTTCATTCTGATGGTTATGACTTACAGTTGAGCTCGGGAAAATAAAAAATTCAGTATCTATTTGAGCTTGATTAGTTTTGAGTATAATCCTGGGCTAGTTTAGAGCATGCAACATGACTACTGCCTTGACAGTCCTCTTTTTTCGGATAAGTTTAGCATTTCATTTGGCGATCTAGGTCTGGAGGAAGCCTGGAGAGGCACAGAATCCAAGCTGCTTGAAGTCCAGTGTGACGTTTCTGAATCCGAGATGATTTGTGGAGCCGTGACGTCTGCTGGCGTTGCTCCATTGTGTTTCATCAAGTCCAGAGTCAATGCAGCCATCCAGCAGGAGGTTTTGGAGCACTTTATGCATCTGCTGACGAGCTTTATGGAGATGTTGATTTCCTTTTCCAGCAGGACTTTAGCACCTGTGACAAAACCACTTCCAGTGATATGACTGAACATGACCGTGCCCATCTGGAGTCTATGGGATGTTTTCAAGAGAAAGATGAGAAACATAACGCCTCAGCAGAGCCACGGGCTGATGCTCGTCTCCGTGCCACGCCGCACTGAAGCACTAATCCGTGCAGAAGGAGCCCCGACCAAGTACTGAGTGCAGAATTAAACCTACTTTGGAGATCTTTTTTTGATTAGATACTGAATAAGTCGTAACCCTCAGAATTAAAACTAAAACAAATCTTGAAATATTTCAGTCTGTGTGCAGTGAATCTAGAATATAAGAAAGCTTGCTTTTTTTGAATTAAATTACTACAAATAAAGAACTTTTCCATGATATTCAAATTTTTTGAGATGCACCTGTACATATACATGTATATACATACACACACACACACACACACACAGGTAACCCTCAGAATTAAAACTAAAACAAATCTTGAAATATTTCAGTCTGTGTGCAGTGAATCTAGAATATAAGAAAGCTTGCTTTTTTTGAATTAAATTACTACAAATAAAGAACTTTTCCATGATATTCAAATTTTTTGAGATGCACCTGTACATATACATGTATATACATACACACACACACACACACACACAAACACTCGCACACACACTCACACAGACAGACACACAGTCACTCAC